TCTCTCACCATATAATAAAACTCTGTCACCTATTGAATAAACCTCCTGCACTTCTTGGTCATTTGCTAGCATTTTGCTTTTTATTTCTAAAATGAAATCATCGCTTTCAGCTTCTTTTTTAATTTCCTTTAGTGTAACCTGTAGCTCTCTTACAATGTTGTTTACCATGCTTTTCACCTCATAATCTGCTCTGATATTTGCAATAATTGATTCTTCGAATCTTTCTTCTTGACTCGGTACGAGTCTTGATAAACTATCTGCATGAATTATATTTTTGGATGATAGGCGCTTTATGTGAAAATCATAATTGAGAAGAATGGTTCCCCATCTCAACAGACGATTTTCCGTATAAATGGGTAACCCTTTCTTTGAACCAAAAATAGTGATCAGTGGTTTATGATCCGTTTCAAGCATAAAATGTCTGCCATGGATGTATCTGTGAAATTTTGTTATGGCAAAAATAATACTCTACGCCTCTTTTTCGATTTGTGAGTAACTTCTTTCTCCTGGGAGTAAAGTTCTCGAAGCATGTGCAATTGGTTTTCTAGAACCATCTGGCATTATGTGTTGAATACACGCTCCTATCCTGTATGAACTGGCATCACTTGCCACTACAATATCCAGTTTTGGATTGTAATGGGTTAAAAAGAGGTCCAACATAAGCATTCTCTTTATTTCATCAAAGGCTTTCTGACATTCTACCGTCCATTTCCATGCCTTGTCATTTTTTTAGCAGTTCATTTAACGGAGCTCTTAGATTGTACATTCCTTTAATGAACGCTTGATAATAATTTGCGAGCCCCAGAAAACACTGTAGCATCGCCACATTAGTGGGCGTCGGCATGTCTCTAATCGCAATGGACCTTTCCGGATCTGGAAATCTGCCCTTTTTGTTGATTATGTGACCTAAATACTTAATTTCCTCCAAACCAAATTCGCACTTTGACTCTTTGACTTTAAAACCAAAGTCCTGAATCTTTTTAAATACTTGATTGAGATGCTCTCATTGTTCGTCGACGGTTTCGCTCCTTACTATGATGTCATCTAAGTAGGCGCACGCAAAGTCTAAATCATTCAACCTGACGTCCATAGCTTGTTGAAAAATGGCTGGTGCCACTTTAATATCAAAAGGAAGCCTGTTGTACTTGAATAACCCTCTATGCGTGTTTATCCCTAGTAACTTTGAACATTCCTCTTCGACAGGAATTTGGAGATAGGCATCTGATAAGTCGATTTTTGAAAATATAACTCCACCATTTAGCGTGTTAAAAATCTCCTCCGGACTTGGTAACGGGTAATGGTAGTCCTTAATTACCGAGTTCAACCCTGTCGAAAAATCAACGCAGACTCTGACTTGGTTTGATTTCTTTTTTAAGCACACAATCGGCGCAGCCCATGAATTAGATTCTACTTTCGAAATAATTCCCATTTTTTCCAACCTATCAAGTTCTTCGTTAATTTTCTTTACACTTGCGAAAGGCACGTTACGTTTCTTTTTAAAAATTGGCATAGTATTTTCCTTTAATTCAAATTTAGCTTCAAACTTGTTACATCTTCCAAGACCAGGTGTGAAGGTTTCTGGAAACTTTTTCTTTAATTCATCTTTAATGTCCTGTCTTGTTTGCGTATTATTTTCTACTTTTCTGCAGAATGAGTTTAACGGTTTATCCCACAATTCGAATGTTTCAATAAAATCTGTACCCATCAAGTTTTCTCCATTTTTCAGAATGAAAACTTTTATTTTTTTAACTATCCCGTTCAATTTCATGGGAAGTACAACCTCGCCTTCGAAGTTAATTTCCTTTCCAGTTACCGTTCGAGCGCATTTCGTTGACTTCATTATTGTAGGTCTTTTTAAAATTTTCCATGTTTTATTGTTCATTATTGTTAAATCTGAACCCGAATCGAGTTGAAATTTAATATTCTTTTTAAATATTTCAGTCGTCACATATTTCCTCAAATCTCTACCTGATTTTATATTTGAATTTGTCTAATTTGGCTATTGACTTTTTTCATTTTACAACACGATCCTTTGTGTCCATTCTTGTGGCACACGAAACATTTCCTATTTCTATATGGGCAATTTACCTCCCAGTGTCTTTCGTTGAAATGTCTACAATTATATGGTGGAATCTTTTTTCCTCTTTCTTTTCATTTAATTTTTCTTGTCTATTTTAAAATACGCCGAATTTTTACTCCAATTTTTTGCTGATGGGTAATTTGACTGTTTTTTTTTATTTTTTTAATATAAGCAATGCCAGCTTCTTCGATTTTTTGAGACTCTTTCTTTAAACTTACGGCCCGCTGACACTCCTCTGCTAACTTTTGTAGGGTAAGGTTTTGTTCAGATTCGAGTTTAGCCAAAAATTTACGTCTTATTTCGGCACTCTTACTGGATACCAGTCCTTGAGCAAAAATTAAACACTTGAATTCTTCAACCGTAATCTCTTCCAATCTGAAATTGTCACAATATCTATTCACTATAGATGCATATGTTAAGTAATCCTGATCGTCGGATTTAGCGACATTCATGCATAACCATCGCTTATGCCAAAGCGACATATTTGCTCCAAACAACTCCTTTAGCAATTTCACTGTTTCCGAGAATTCCAATTCATTTGTCCTTCTCGGTAGAATAAAATCTACAAATTTGCTATGTTCTGCTGTACCTAGCTTTCTTAGTAATAGACTGACTTTTCTTGAATTCGACCAGTTTTCACAGTCTGTGTAGAAAATATCTTCATATTGTTTAAAGTATGCTTCAAACGTTTTTTCTTCGTCTGGCCCATAGTTGAAAGTTTCCAACGAATTAAATATGATGTTATTAGAATATGAAGAATTTCCTTCATTTGCCTGATTGTTGTTTAATTTCTCCAGTGTTAACTTTTGAATTTCTAAAACCTTGATCTGCATTTCTTCCTGTTTTCCCAGTCTTTCCTCTTGCTTTTCTTGATATTTTTGCTGTCTTTCCTCTTGCTTTTCTTGATATTTTGTTGTCTTTCCTCTTGCTTTTCTTGATATTTTTTTGTCTTTCCTCTTGCTTTTCTTGATGCTATCTGTTGTTCCCTTATTAATAAGGCAAACTGTTCACTTTGACGTTGCTGACTCAACTGCTGGGATTAGAATAATTCAGATATGACTTTGGATAATTCATCCATCTTTTGCTAATAGTGTTCATGCAACAAAGAATATACTTTTAATTTGTGAATCCACGGATATAATATAATCTGACCAGAAAAATCGAAACAACTTACGACTTTTTTTATTTTATGTCTTGCTTTATAAAATATTGTTGAGCAACCAAAAAAAAAATATATATTTTTTTTTTTTTAAAGTTTGTTACCTTTCAAAGTCGACACGATGTATTTGTGCGCCTTTTAATTCCATGCATGTTTTTGTAGTTGGCCCGTTTTTTGGGGTTTTTTTTTTAATCACCCTTATTCGTTTACGACACCTTTCAAATTTTTCTGAGTGAACGTTCCTTTATGATTAGCCGTCCTTTAACGAGTTCTAAATATCCAGAAATTCAGAATCCTTCGCCGTTCCATTAGATGTTGAACTTTTAATTAATAATTTTTTCCTTCAGCCTGGGTTCTTCAATGACTTGTCCTAATTGTTGAAGGCTATCAATTATCAATTTTTTTTTTTTTTTTTTACATATAGTTCTTTCTACCTCGTCGCCATTGTTGAAACTTGACTAATGCATGGAATAATAATGCAACACAAAATGTACTTAGAACAAAATGTATTGAAACAGGAAAGTGTACACAATATTTACATATAGTCTTTTGTATATTCCTGGTAAGACCGTTCCTGGAGAATGTGTTGACTGAGTCACAGTCAGGCAGTCTCTGGTTGAATCTCTTGATTCCTGTATTTATCTATCCACCCACGAGGATAAAATGTGGCACAAGGCCGGTTTAAAGTGGGTATCTCCGAGAACAACATCGCCCACGTGACGATGACGTGATCATATTTAAACGGAACGCCGATCTTATATAAAAATTTCAGTTATCTGTTTGGATTAGTTGTGCTCTTATGTCCATCATCTTTTCTTGTTGAATTTTTATATGTTCTAATGTTAATTATGTTTAAATGAAAATGTCCTGAATATAGTCTAAAATAGACCGAAACGTCCGACATTGACTTTATATTAACATTAATACAGCATAATTGCATATTAAGATTTTTGTTTGTTTTTTTCTGTATATTTTTCTTCATATATATATATATATATATAATGATATTTTTATTTAAAAATATATTTAAATATAAATAAAAATATCATGCTCTACGTTGTATTGAGCACTTTTTTTTAAAAAAGTAAATTCTAAAGAACTGTGGATCCTAAATCTGTTTGTTCTTTCTGTTCATTTGGACATATATATATATATAAGTGGACATTGAAGTTAGCACCCAGGGGTGACAGTCTGTTTCAGGCCATGTGTGTTGTGTTTTGGCTTGACTATTTCTATATGCTAGCCAGTAGTGCATTATTAGGAGGCCTACTGTTTTATTCTAACAATTTATATCAATATTATTCTAAAAATTTGAAAAAGCCAATAGCATTTTACATTCGCATATAAATAATTGTGATAAAAGAAAAGTTTTTGCATTTACCTTGATAAAATCTCTCAGTGGATGAAGGGCATCAGCTAAGTTTTCTTTTTGTATTTATTCACACACATGCACATATATGTGTGTGTGTGTGTGTGCGCAAAAATCCCTAGGAAACATCTTTCGGAAAATTATAAGATTATTGCACATTAGAAAACTGTTACATAATTATAAAATTACTGGAAATTTTATGTATATAATTTTTTTTAATATCACCTCTTTTACAACTTTATTGCACAATTTGTCAAGAAATTGGGGCTGTCTATCACTTCTGGGATAACTTGCACGTGAGAGTTATCAAGAAATTTAGATGTACACACACACAATAAAGTTCATAGCTCTGTAAATAAAGTATTATTCATTGCTATTGTTTTTTTTTCCAGATTGGAAATCTTAATTATGCAATCGGTGACTACATTAAAACATCAGAGAAAAATCCCAAACATACTGAGGCCCTTAAAAAACAAGCAGAATATTTCTTAAAAATAAAGTAAGTTGTACTAAAACTAATTTCATTTCAGTTTTTCATGTTTCTTACTTTATAACGACAACAGGTAGAAATGCAAATATCTTGGTCCACTAAATTTGTTTTGTTTATGACTATAAATTGAATTTAAGTTTTTTATTGCAAATGATTCAGATGTATACATTATTATCTGGGACATTGAATGCAGTTTTTGGCAAAACCCATGGAAGTATCACTTTGTCCTTTTGCAATTTCAACAAAGAACACCATAATTATCTAGGTATAATACACACACCTAACTATAGCCTACAAAATCTTGTAAAAAAGGCTCTCTCATGTATAATATGCACTGACCTTTTAGCAGCTAAATTAAACATCTGTTCAACTTTTTATCTTGTTTCTATTGGCTAAAGTAGGAATATGTGCAATAAAAATTTACAAAATATTCAGAACAAGTATAAATGGAATTATAAACCAAATACACTTGGGTAACCAGGTATGAGCCAAATGGGGGCAGACTAACACCATCATTTCCTTGTTTTGTGGGCCCAGAATTTGGTCCATAGTTGTTTTGGATGTTCTTGGATCCATGTGTTAGCTATTACCTGGTCATTGGCTGTGCACCATTGGATCCATTTTTCTCCATGTTTGTTGTGGGTTCCTAGTCTGAATTTTCCTGCTATATCACCTGTCCTTTCCCTGCCATGCATTTAGATCTCCCATGATAATGATGACATTCTGTGATTTGCATAGAGCCCTGGCACTGTCCAGTATGGAGTAGAAAGATTTGATGTCTTCTTCCTTGCTTTGTGCTGTTAGTTCATACGCTACTATAATAGCCATGTTGAACAGCTTTCCTTTCAGCTTCACTACCAGAATTCTCTTGGAAAGTTGGTGCAATCCTAGAATGCATTTCATAAGTGCACTATGGACAATGTGAAAAGAAGATACAAGGCACACTGTGGAAACTCAAAATTAGATGCTTTAGTGACATCAAAAAACAATATCATCTCAAAGGAGACAAGGCAAAGAAAAGACATGATGGAAAGAAGACAGAAAAGAATGGAGTGCAGAAAATTACACAATGAAATAAGGACCAAATGCAAGCAAGCTAAAGAAGAGCAGCTAAATGAAAAATGTGCAGAAATAGAAAGATTGAGTACCACTAATAAGAGATATGCAAAAACAAATAAAGCAACTAACAGGACAGAAAACATGCTTGTCAACAGGCTGCTTAAAATCAAAGGATGAAATGGTCATATTAGAGAAGGAAAAAATTCTTCAACACTGAAGTGAGTGTATTAGAGAATCTTTCTGTGATGAAAGAGAACAACCAGCAATATACAGAACTATCGACGAACCTGGAATTCTGTAAACCAAAGTAAAAGCAGCACTGGTCAAATTGAACAGAAACAAGGCAGCTGGGCCAAATGGAATTGTAACGGAAATGCTGACAGCCTTAGATGACTTTGGCATAGACAAGATCACCAAAATAACAAATGAAATCTACAACAGTGGGGATATACCAGAAGACTTCAGCAGATCTATCTTCATAGCAATACCTAAGAAACCAGGCACAAACAAATGCGAGCTCTACTGAACAATACGTCTAAATGAGCCACAAAACTCATCATCCATATTCTATTGACTAGAGTGCACAGCAAAATCAAGCCAGAGATAAGATGAAAACAGTGCGGGTTCGTTAAAGAGACAGGAACAAGGAATGTGATATTCATGCTCAGAAAAAGTGTTACAAATGCAGGAGGACATGTATCTATGTTTCATAGACTATGGAAAGGGCTTCAACAAAGTACACCGCAATGATCTGCTGGAACTGCTCATCAACCTTGATATATTCAGAAAAGATATCAGAATAATCAAGAACCTATAATGGCAGCAAACAGCATGCATGTGCATAGGGAACGAGTTCAACAAATATACAAAAATAGAAAGGGGCAAAAGGCAAGGATGTGTCTTCTCACCCAATCTGTTCAACTTATACAGTGAGGCGATTCTGAGAAAATAGGAAACCCTACCAGGATTTAGCATTGACAGCCATAATCTTAACTACATATGATGCACAAATGACACAGTACTGATAGCAGACACAGAAAAAAATTACAAAATCTTCTACAGAAGGTAGCGACAGAAAGTGTGAAGAAGGGATTAAGCATAAACTACAAAAAAAAAAAAAAAAAAAACAGATTGCATGGTCATCAGTAAAATAATGAGCCTGAAATGTGATTTGCAGGTTGGGAACACTAGAATCAAGCAGACTTGGCAGTTTAAATATCTGGGAAGTGTTCTGACAGAGGACGGTAAGTGCAACACTGAGATCCATAGATGTATTGGGATGGCCAATGACACATTCCAAAACCTGGGCAGAGTACTTTGAGACAGGAGGATTTCTTTGTTAATGAAGAAAAAGATACTGAGCTGTTATGTGACATCTGTCCTTCTTTACGGCATCAAATGTTGGATGATTTCCTCAAAGATGAAGACGAGACTCGAGGCAACAGAGATGTGGTTCTACAGAAGGATGCTAAGGATATCATGTACTGAGCATGTGAGCAATGATGACGTCTAAGAGAGGTTACAAACAAGGAGGCTTATACTTAACATCAGGAAGAGGCAGCTGAAGTTTCTGGGATGCATAATGAGGAAGAAGTGCCTGGAGAATCTGATGCTCACGGGTCGAATAGAAGAAAAGAGAGACAAGGGAAAACAGCACATGACATACCTAGTGGCTTTAAGCAAATGGATGACAGAGTGTAGTCTGGGGGGGAGGTGGCAGTTGGAAGGAACTTACTGAGAGCTGAAAGGGATAGAAGGAGGTGGAGAGCCATGATTGCCTACATCCTGAAAGTACACGGCATACAGAAAGAAAAAGTGCCTGGTAGGCCAAATATGACTATGTATCATTGTTGGCTGTTCTGGTCTCTCATACACTCCCTGAAGCAACATTTTTTTAACAGTGACCATCTAGTGATTTGTTATGTCTTCAACAGAGGAATTATAAAACTCTTCTGGGGAGCATGGTAATTTGTTTCTCACATGATCCCAAATCTGTTCTGTGAACATCAAAGTTAAGGAGAAAGATCTCTTCAATACAAGTGACCACTCTGAAAAACTTAACAATAATTTATTGATGGTGAATATTACATGAACATGCATCTTCTACACACTGTGTAGTAAAATAATGATCCTGAAGTATCTTGAGGCCTTTGCTTCCATTTTTCACTTCCACCAAATTATAGCATTTTTTTTTCTCCTAGATATGGTTTTGCAGCTTCCTTCTTGTTTCACATTGTTTTTGCCACACCCCTGTTTTCTTTGTATAGTTTGTCTGCTAGATCCACAGAGTGTATGTGCTCTTGTTTTTGAGTGAAATGGATTTTCTTGGCACTCTGTCTCAAGATCACCAGGCAAATCACAAAGCCAAATGTGTCTCCTCCTCATTTGACATTTGATGTATGTCAAAATTTTCATCAGAGAAAAACCACCTTTGAGAAATTTCAAAGATTTTTCACCAAATTCATTCAGGGGTTCAACTCTCCCTGGTTCCCTCATCAGCTTCATTTTATATGTTTAATTTAACTTTAATTCTCTGTTTCTTTGCCCATTTTTCATTCTGATTATTTAGGATAAGCTTCTGGGAGTTTTTGTGATTTATTTCTCATTTTCAATCACCTCAAATCACTGTTTTTCAATCTCATGCGACATTGAATCAAGGCCATCACCCTGTTATACAAGTATGCAGATATGTTTACAAAAATATATTATCAGTTTATTACAAAAGTAGGCTCATGGTAGGAGGAACAATCTTACAAATTCACATTTCAGTGGCTAGTTTTCAGTAGTTATAAAAGAGAGGGTGATATTGCTCTTACTTCCTTTTTGAGGAAGAAGGAGGAAATGACTCTGTGGACAGTGATTACATTGAAGATAAAGACTAGACTGACAATATAGATGAAATCATCCAAATGTCAACATCTGACATGGTCAGCAATTATGCAGACTAAAATGTGCTTGATATATATGTGAATATTTGAGCCATAGGTATAACTTACTTTCACCTACTGGCTAGAAAATTAACATTTAGGTCTTATATATAATATAAACACTATTGTTATCAATGCAGAAAGTAAAATTGTTAAGCTGAGTTCAAATTTAGGCCTTGCATTTGCTTTCACACAATTACACTACCTCTAAGTTGAATAGCAGGACAAACAGAATTATCTTGCATTGGTTGGAAACCCCTCTTCATTCAAAATTGTTTGGATGTGAGGCTGTATCTTCAACCCATAAAAACCTTGCCATAGAAACCATAACATCAATACTTAGTGTGGTGAGTCGGTGGTAATACTGTGGTGAGGCTGTGGCCCTATACTTTAAAGCAGAGTCTAATAATGGCATTAAGAAGGAGGAGGACTATGTAGGCTTAAAACTCTGGAATTAAATTCTATTATACATAAATAATTATGGTATTTTGTATATTTTAATACAGAGAAAATACACAAGAAAATCAATAGGTTTCTGAACATTTGCTTTTTGCCTTTTAATTTCTTCTAAACAATTACTATTGTCAAATGCTGTTGAAAATGTTGCCATTTTTTGAACAAGTCCAAGAGATCATTTTCAACAGGCTCCTTCATTCCAAGATTCTCAATGTAACCTTTACACTGACCAATGTTTACCTTTAAACTCAAGTATAAATTCAAACAATATTTACCCCTAGACTCAAGTATAAGCCTGAACAATATTTACTTATATAGACTCAATTATAAGTCTAAACAATATATAGACTCAAGTCTCAACCTGACCAATGTCTACCTTGAGATTCAAATATAAACCTAAACAATATTTTCTTCTAGAATCACTTATAAGAGTGAACTATATTTGCTGATATAAACTCGAGTATAAGCCTGAACAATGTTTACCTTAAATATAAATCCAATCCATGTTTACCTCTAGACCCAAATGTAAACCTTAACAGTATAGACTTTTATAGACTCAAGTATAAGCCTAACTTGTGTTTAACGATGTAGAGTCAAGTATAAGCCTGACCAATGTTTGCCTATATTGACTATAAGCTCAACGAGAATTTACCTGTATAGTCTCAACAATAAATCATGCCTTTATTTGCCTACCTTTCAAAGTATCAACTGTATAAGTCAAATATACATAAAAAGCTGTCTAGTGGATTATTTCATTTCCAAAATGTACCAAATTCTAATTTTTGACATTTGTTCATTCTTCCAGAAACTGGAATGTTGCTATTTCTAAGATCAGCCGACTTCTTGAGCTCATTAATGACCCAGAAGCATTCCTTATTCGTGCTGAAGCATTCATTGGACTGAAAATCTGGAAACATGCTCTGTGTGATTTATCAACTGCCATTCATCTTGGCCCATCATTATGGAAAGCGTTTTACTTACGTGGATGTCTACTGAAAAACAATCCGTAAGTTGAGAAAAACTCCTCATTAATAAATGGTTTTGTAAGATCATGTTTTAGATATTAATATATGGCGGCCAACTTTATTGACAAAGTAGTTAAATCTTTCTGCTCGATTAACTGTTGTCAAAATTAAATCTCAAAATTTTAAAGGCTGATCCTTAAGGCAGATAAGCTTGGTTAAATATTCTCTTTACCTTTTTTTAATCCTTTCACACCAAGCAATTCAGTAAAGCCAGTAAGGTACAAGGGGATAGTGAATATGAAAGAATACGAGGAAAAGAAAAACATTAAGGAAAGATACCAATAAATGAACAGGAATTAAGATGACAAAAGATTATGATTGACATTGCATTTTTATAGTAATAGTCATGAAAATAATATTTTAATTTGTAAGGAGAAAAAGACCAAAATAATTATCACTGATCCAACATCTATGGCCAGACAGTGTCTAAGACTAAAACATACTGTGGCCATATTTCTAGTTCCATTTCCCTGTGTCGTTGCCTTGAGTTGGATTAATCTTAGCTTCATTAATATTTATGATGTTGAGGCAGTTTATTGATTTGAATATTGGTAGCAACTTTTCCAGGATTCAATATTAGGTAGTCGTTAATTAAGTCAGAGACATGCCAAATCAGTTGAATAACTTAATATACAGGTTGATTAAAAGTAACTCCTTATTTTATGTATGATGGGCTCATGTAGAAATTATAGTCAGCCAAGAGAGTCTATCATACATAAAGTAGGGATTTACTTTTCAATCACCCTGTAAATTCATATATTTTCTATTATGAAAGTTTTTTTTTGTTTTTTTTTTCTAGTTTGAGTCTTACAGCCATATCATGTTGAAACACATGTTCTTGTCCGATCACTGAAATTAAGCAATGTTGAACCTGGTCTGTACCTACATGGGTGACTACTCAGGAATTGCTCAGAATGAGAAACTGGACAGCCAAGTTCCAATTCTAGTCATGTTTGTTATATTTATTTATGTGCAAATAGCCTTGGGAAGGGTATGATTCAACCTTTTCTCCTACCAGTTTTAGGTAGGACTTGTATCAGAAAACCATTACTGTCTCCAAAAGATTCTTACAATATATTTCTGGTTTAAATAACCTTAAAAAGTTTGATAAGTCATAAAAAACAAAAACACAAATCAATTGAAATCTGTCTAGTTTGCATCTGAAATACTTAGCCCAGGAATTGAAGTTGGCAAAATCATGAACAGCCACTTTAATCCTCCATATGTAGTACAGACACAGTGGAAACAGGACTAGCAATAAATGAGCAGTTCTAAAAAAGAATAAGGCACTATATCCTTAGATATGGACAACAGAATGAGAACATTCTACCTCAGATGTGTAACTAAATGGTTCAGTTCAAATTACTCGGATCTACATATATCCAAACAAGATCAGAGGGCAAATCAACCAAATGTTTAAATCATAACAACCAAGATAAGGATATTAGTTTGACTTGTAAATAATAACTCTTTATTCCAGAAATTCACAGTGAACATTGGAGTTGCCATTCCTATAAATGTTAATGTTTTGCTTTGTGCCAAATTGGTGGTCTTCAGAAAAATTTGCTGAATTGATTAAAGAAAAAAAAAGTTTGTTAAGCAATTAGTCATTCTTGACATTGTATACTTCAATATATGAACCTGGCATATATAGTTTCAAATAAATGTTCTTTTATGATTATTCTTTTTTGGAGGAAAATCCATCTGGGACATTTATGGAGTTTAAAGTTTGCATTTTGGTGTAATATGGGTATGTTCGAGTTCACATGTAAGCAATTCTCACTGTCTCTTAGCTATGTTCATTTTCTTTTTTTGTCCAGAAGTCAGTGTAAGTAAGAATAAACATTGGTATAATGGTCGAGGTCAAGTCAGCCTGAGTTAGATTGACCAAAGAAAAGCTGTACTTACATCATTGGTAGTTATAATTGTCGAGCTTAAGTTAGCCTTGCACTGAGTTAGAATGATCAAAGAAAGACTGTAATTACTTCATCAGGAATTTCAATAGTAGAACTAAAATTAGCCTTGTGTTTAGTTGAAACAACCAAAGTAAAGTTTGATTTACTTCATAGGTGGAGGTTTTGGAAGATAAATGCAATGTGTTGAAAAGTGGATGGAAAGAGATTTCAGTCAGGGAGATTAATGTTCTGCAGTGGAAACATCCTTGTCTCCATGCCACTATATCTTGGAACAAGGGTGAGAAAGAGAGACAAAAATGTTTGTCTTTTTATAGACTTTAACAGCATCACCTAATGGGCATTTGATGAAGACAAGTAGGGTAATAACATTTCCAGTTTCTTTATTATTTGCATCATGGGGAAATGTATTTCTTTATCTTTTCTTTTTTTAATTATTCATTATTATTATTTTATTCAATGATATTATTTCATTTTCCAACACATAATTCAACTATCCCTTTTATTAAGTTTACGAGTAGCTGCCCATTAATTTTGGCAACACACATTCTCAGATTGTATTCATTTGGATATTTAATAAAAGGGATGGCTGGAATAAAGATGTCCTAGGTAGATTTTCTACTAGTGCATAAGCTACTGTACTTTTAAAATGAATCCCTATTCACAGTATCATTATAGTGATTTGAAAATAAACAAATTCATAATTTTAGGTGATTCATAGATTTTTATTAGGCATTTGAGAATACATCTTTAACTGGCCATAAATGAAAGTCAAGTTAACACTCATTAGTTACATGTGTTAAATTTTAATTTCTTTTTTAGATGTATCAAGGGCATTAACATGGCAGCTTCCACTCTTACATAGAAAATGAAAAAGTTCACCATGCTTGTGGTACCACAGTGACTTAAAGATAGACAACTTTTTAAAAAGTGGCCAGGTGAACAGTAGGAATGGTAGGGGGTTACTGTATTGGCCCCATGATCATGCACAGAAAAGTTCACATCTATGATGATTTTGAGGTGGTGCCAGTCCACATTTTTCTGCAGGGCCTCAGTGTCAGTACCATACATCATAAATTGTATTGAAGTACTAAATATGGTGATCAACCCTTTTGATTTAAAATGCTGGGGTATACATGTTCCAGCAGAATTCTGTCAACTGCTGGTCATACTAATTTATGGAATACTTTGTAACTAAATACAAGACCTCAAATATACACCAGGATAAAATACCATCTCTATCCAATTTATAGACATTAGAAGATGATGGCTGAGGGTCAATAGGTTTGAAGAGATCTAGACTTAGACATGACTGTGAACATGCCATTTTGTACACTTATTTTGAAAGTGCTGGTTTGTGTAGACCTGACCTGTCAAGGTGACTGGGTTTCCTCCTTGACATGTCCTAATGTCAGGCTCTAAGATCAGTGGGAAGCACAGGCAGTGAATCTTAATACACAAAAATTATGAATCATCAAAATAAAAAAAGCCCAAGAGATGTCTTTTCAGATATGATAATGAGAATGAAATTAATATAGAATTCTATGATTTTTTTTGTTTGGTTTGGTTTATTTTGTTTTACGGCATATCAACCTTAATGGTCTATTTAATGCCAACAACATTTTTTATTGCTGTTAATATTTTGTTTTCTCAAAAATCTGTTTCTAGTAATATTTTTCCTTCAAAATTGTATTGTTGGTTATAATTTTTTTCAAAAAAGTATTGCTGGTAATAGTTAGCTGGAACCCTAACAGGTGCTACCACCCTGGGTCAGGGTGGACCTGGAAACACCAGCAATTAAGAGGTATTTCCACAATCCTCAAAACCTCCTGATCAGAGGCCTTGCTGCTGGATGTAGTTTATCGTCTTACCCAGGATGTGGATGTAGTTTAACATCTTTCTCAAGATGATAAGATTTTTTGTGCTCGCATCCCTAGAAGAAACTTCACTGCCAAAACTTTCCCCTTTCTTGTTTGCAAAAGTACTATCAAGTAGAATTAATCCTAAAACAGTTAGAAAGTTGAGAGATGGCACTTTGCTGGATTAGGTGGAACATTGGAAACACACAGAAAATATAATAAATTACATCTGCCTTAGGAAGCCAAGGCTCAGTGATTACCATAGAATCCCAGTTAAAAGAAAAGTCAAAAGAATTATAACTGACACATATCCTCACTTTTGGCACACCTGAAATCCACAAAAAAATAAAATAGGGTATAATATTGAACTATATATCCCTGCTCAACTAAGATGCTTTAGGTGCCAAAAGTTTGGACATCATAAGGATATTTGAAGGCGTTGCCCAACATGCGGAAAATATGGCCAAAGTGATTCAGACCATACTGAAGAAGAATGCCATGATGAAGTAAGATGTGCTAATTGCCAAGAAAGACAATCCATCATACTCAATTTCTGGAAAAAAGAAATTGTCAAAGTAAAATATAATAGAAACATTTCATTTTCAGAAGCAACACTAGTAGAAAGTCTTTTTCATGCAAAATAATGGAAAATAATTCTTCAAATAATGCTGGTCAGCCTGAAAAATACAGAGCTCAGAGCCCTCATTGAGAAGATTGTAAAGTTGGGACCAAATAACTGGCCTAAATTTCAAACTCTTATATAGGTAGAAAATAGGTAACTACTGACAACAAGGTTCGAGTGTGATACTCCGGACTTAGGAATATATATTTTCTGCCAGGTGTATAAATAACAGTGTCAAGCTACTGACTATATTGATTATTGAGTGTAACTTTCCAGTTGAATTAATGTGAATTATTGTGTGTTGATGCAATAACAATGTATTCACTGAAATGGTTAATTATCTGATTATTATATTGGCTGATTTTTACTCCTTTGTTCCTGTTAAGTATTTATTTGTGGATGTGATTAAATACTGTTTTATTTTAGCATTGAATTCTTGAGTTGTACTTAATCATTAATGGCCACCATATGTCACAAAACAAACTTATTAAAAAGTCTATATTCCAAGGAAATGGTGTAGAATGAACCACAAAAGAAGGTCAATGGAAAAACTGAAACAATAAATAAATAAAAAAAAAATAGCAAAATGGC